TCACTGGAGCGGCCATCACTGGAGCGGCCATCACTGGAGCGGCCGTCGGGGCCATCACTGGAGGAGTCGTTGTGGTTGCTGGGGCCGCCGCCAACGTAGTTGGATGTTCAGTGCAGCAGTTTTTAAAGTGACTAATAAACATCTCCTTTCTCCCAATGATTCTTGGGCAAAAGCCACAGTGATAATGGCTGCTGGCCACTCATTTGAGATGGCATTTATAAACATTATAACCTAAAAAAAAGAGACAGAAAGTGGTTTAGAGGATTCTAGAAACAAACCAACATGAATTTCTTGTAAATATGCAATTTGAAACAAGGTGTTTGTGCGAGAGCAATAAATAATCATGTCACCAACAATAATATTTTTGCCTATAAACTGATTTTTTGCAGATTGAATGTGTGATTATGCTCATATTGTGCCTACCCCAAATAAGGATATTTTTCCAGCATTATTAACACTTCATAACCTGAATATAAATCTAATTTTTAATGTTCAATTTATAATTCAAAATGAATTTACACCAAGGATGTCCTGGGGCACAGAAATAACACATGTATCCATAATGTGTGAGGCATTAAACACATCTAACAAGTAACATGTAATGTAATGTGATGAAGTATACAATGATCATATAGAATTATAGATGTACTTACCTCCATATTTCACAAGTGCCCTCTGGTGGCTCTGCAAATGAGCCATCAGACCAGGGTATGACCCGGTCCTTTCACAAAATGGACACTGGAAGGTGTCCGAGTCCAATTTGTTGAGCTCTGGGCGTGCTCCATCACGGAGTGTTGTGTTGTTTGTCTATAGGTGAATAAAATAGAATACAATTTCAGTGACTTTAATATTGGAAATAGTTAACTCCTTAAACAAGCAGCAATGGACTGGCCTGTATAATCCTATGGGACAAAGCTGGTCATACTTCCTCACTTTCAGAAGGTAACCCTTTAACTGCCAGCGCCACCATTTGGTAGAGCACATTTTGTGTCTTGATATCTTGTTGAAAAAAAAAAAAAGTTTAACTCCATCTGATTCAGCCAGCTCTACCTTTTTGGTTGACATGTTATGCACAAAACAACCTCTAGATGTCACTGTGGTTCGAACAGAAAGCCCTTCAGCTAGTTTAAATCTTTATATATACGGTCTATGGTTTAAATGTCAGGCCTACAGCAGGCCTACAGCATGGCCACAAACCCCATGCCATTATGGCGCATTTCCATTGCAGCGCGTAGCTCGCTTTAAGCGTGCCATGTCGTGCCGTCCCCTTTTTTGGTTGTGCTTCCACTAGGCCTCGTTCCGGCGCGGCACGGCGCGGGGCCACTTTTTCCCCTCTTTTCTGGCCCTAGAAAATTGTGGTTCTATCGGGGCCAACAAACAGGGCTGAGTCGGGCTGAGTATGCTAAACTAGAGAGAGGAGCGCTGGCAAGAGGGCTAGAACTACAACAAGATGGACATATTTGACCGTGATTTAATTGTAATACACGTTTCAAAATGATGCCGAAGTAACAACATACTGATACCGGTTAGTAAAAACCATGAATTAATGCTTTGTCAAGTCTGCAGACAGACGGCAGGCGAAAAACCTTTTAAAATTCGTGTTTTTCTAGATGGAGATTGGCTAAGCTAACGCAGTATATGCCCCGACCGTCCACACTCACAACAACGGCCTATACAGACATAAATACAGCAGCGACTGTATTCACCATGACACAGGCAGTCTGTGGTGTGTACTTGTTTAACTTTTGTCGAGTTTCTGAACATATATAAGGAGCTGTGAGCTCTGAGTGCTCACAGCTAACGGCTGTGTTGTGTTTCTGGATTTCTCATTGAAGATGACGTCACGGCTCCGCCTACACTGCGTTACTATAGTAACTACCCCAGTTCCTAAACTGTAATGGAAGCGCAGCATGAAGTGAGTCGGCCCTGTTAAGGCCCAACGTGGCCAAGCCGTACCGAGCCGTACCGAGTGTGGCCGAGGCCGACCGTGTAGTGGAAATGCGCCATAAAAACAGAGGCCTGATTGCATCCACCTGGGTTACTTGGCTCTACCCAATAACTATATATCATTTAACTTTAAACCACACTTAAAATAATAATATAATTATACATATGTGCATGTCAGTATAGCAGCTAATACATGTTTTTTTTTTAAAACATTCAAATGTGAAAGACACCTTCAATGAATATTTAAAATCAGATTCTTGTAAAAATGCGAGTACATGCATTGTTCCATCTGTCAAGCTAAAATATATACATATATCTTAGCTCTTAGCTTGACATGCTAACTGAACGAGCATGTTCAGTTAGCATATATGCTAACTGAACGTCGAGCATGTCAAGCTAAGAGCTAAGATATATATATATTTATATGTATTCCATTCCTTTACATTTAATATTTAAAATACAAATTAGCTAAATAAACACAATTACACTGCGCTAAACAGCCACATCGACAAACAAACGAGAACCTAAATAGTATGTAATTATATCTAAAACCACAATACGTTAATTACCTGTACTCGGTGCGCCATATTGTTTGTCTGTTCTCTGAACCTCATGTCTCTTTAAATATCCTTGCATCAGCGTCAGTGTCGTCAATTCGCTTTTAATCTGCCATGTATGGTAATGTCTCTCAGCCACCGTAGTGTCGTGTCAGGTGGGCGTGTCGTGTAGTGGGCGTGTCGTGTAGTGTCGTGTAGTGGCCGCGGCCGCAGCTAGACCCTTCTCGGACGGATCGGGTAGTGACCATGGTAGTGGGTCCTTCTCAGGTCGATTAAATGGAATCCTTGCGTCCCTCACTTGCGTCGTTTCCCTGCGTTTAGTCCCTCCCACCAGGGAAGCATGGAGAGACGCAAGGAAACCACGAGAAGCAGGGAAATGAGTTTTAAGAGCAATGGGACGTCCTTTCCTCTGGAGCGTCACGTGAAGCGACGTCCGTTTGTGATGACGCCGCACAGCTGTTCTTCTGACAGCAGCTCTGTCCCCGTTATTTTCACAAACACCCCCGCCTCTGTTAGTACACATTTACTGACACAAACATTTGTATCATCTGTTGTAGACCTAAATACATTAAATAAAATAAGAACTCATTCTCAAAAAAGATAAACGCCATTCTTAAAATGTATAACGAACAATAGTTGGATTAATATTGATTAGAGTGCACAATAGAAATAAAATAATTCAGAGAAGAAAAAGAGATATGTGTTATCTATCAAAACCCAGTTAGATTAACATTAATTGGATTGCACACTTAGTTATGTGGATATGTAGCAAATGAACATGTTAAATAGCACTTAATGACTGACTGAATGGAAATGACAATAAATGAAAATGTAAAACGAAAAAGCGATCATGAAAATGTTTCCAATAAATGAATAAAATAATTTTTGACCACTTTGTTGTTCAGATATATCACATATTTGTAACTGAATGATGCATTCATTGAAACAAAACACAGTATAAACTGAGGAGTGAGTCCCGTGAGTTTCATGTGTTTTCTTCACTCCGCTGGGAAACTCTGCTCTCATGTCAAGAAGCATCAGATCAGTGCATGCGCTGCATCGTCCAATCAGTGAGCGATACACAGTAAGGGGGCGGGGAGAGTATCTGAGGATTTCACCGGAGGATGGTCTGGTGGTTCCTCGGTTATCGCTCCTCCATTATCGCTCCTCGCTCCTCGATCCTCGGTCCTCCGGCAGAAATAAGAGCCATGGGACGCTACTCAAGATGGCGCAGACAAATCAACTTCCGGTGATACCGAGGACCGAGGAAATGAAAATAGTCGACCTGAGAAGGACCCATAGACAGTGACAAGCAGCTCTCATAGGAAATAACGAGACCCCGGTTGCGTTCGAATACTCCAAAACAACAGCTCCTAAGTTCTAACCCTATCGTCTATTCCTTGACCTCGGAGTGAAACGTCATGGGGTTAAGGGATAGTGGATAGGAGAATTCAAAAGGATTTAGGAGAAGAGACTGCGGCACTTTAGAGAATCCGACTGCACTTTCACTATCCGACGTGTTTATGATGCGCCAGCAGAGGTCATACATGTAAATGTGCGCCTGCTGCGGTGGGGAAACTATGGAAACTACAGTTTTCTATACAGCGGACTACAACATGGATGTTTAATAAGAACGAGGGACTACTGTAAACTCATCTAGAGACTCTGCACCGTGCTCTGATGCTGTTATTTTATGCTTTATGAACGGGGACAACAGAGAAACATATTCTTCATGACCAAAGTTGGAATTGAAATAAAAAAGGAAAGTGCAACTTATGCTCTTCACCCTCTCCCTCCGGTCCACATTAATACAAATGATCCCAATACGTATGATTGTATGAAAAGATCTTAAAATCAATACAAATGTATTTATTATAAACGTTAGTCCTTAACATCTATCACTGTGTATATCACCATTCAAACATCTTTTAAAAGTTGAACAAACCCCACACAGCTTAGTAAAGACTGTGAAATGTTGACTTTATTTGATCATTTCAGTAAAAACTAACGTTCATATTTCTCTTTTTGATTATAATACTGATGAACGTTCAAAACAAAGCACTTTGGCAACTTACCACATACGTTTTAAAATGCTTAATAAGCACCGTAACTTTCATGATATCATTTCTCGTTCATAATCGGTTGTTTCCGTGAACGGCCGACTGTTGTGTGACGGTAAATGCTGCGGCTGCAAAGCATTGTGGGGCAGCATTTTCTCCTCTCCTTTCGGTTAGGGAGGTCCAGTGGTTCCTAGGCTAAAGGAGGTTATAAAGGAAGTTTGAAACCTCCTTTCCTTTTAATTTAGAGAATTCGAACGGCACTTATCATGGCTGCCACTGAGGGACTTCCGGGTCATTTCACTCCGTTAGGAAGGTTCCTAAGCTAAATGGACTATTCGAATGCAACCCCCGCCTCCGACGCTGTATCCAGTTCTTATTATACATCCATGCCTCCCACGCTGTATCCAGTTCTTATTATACATCCATGATATATTATATACTGTATGTTCTTGAATAAAAAAAGATCGCTCAGTTATCGACTTATTGAGTCTAGATAACAGAAAGTTTTCTCGACTGATCTGGTCTTAACAGAGGCGGAAGCTCCCCTAAACAATTGCTGAGTTGAACTGAGCGTGAGCAGCAGCCTGCACCGAGCTAACTAACCGCTCCTAGCAGCCTGACACAAACCGAGCTAACTAACCGCTCCTAGCAGCCTGACACAAACCGAGCTAACTAACCGCTCCTAGCAGCCTGACACACACAGAGCTAACTAACCGCTCCTAGCAGCCTCTCTACACAGCGGGCAGTCCGAAAACCGGAAATGTCCGCCGGGGCTGTGCTCACCGTCCGCCTGGTCAGGTCCTTCGAGCACAGGAACTTCAGACCGGTGGTGTTCCACTCTGTCAACCTGGAGAACACGGTACTGGACTTCATGCAGCTCGTGAGAGACGGTGAGGACCACTGTTTCAGCTTCAATTTAAATCCTCTTTTTGTCTCCAATCATACTGTAGTAGCCTCTCTTTTTGTCTCCAATCATACTCTGTTGTTTTCAGGTCATGATAACCCTCTTTTCTTTCAGACATAGCAACAAGGCCTGGGCTCCCTCCACCTTTTAGGAAATACGCTTATGGTGTGTGTGCCTGACAATAGTAGTAGTTGTATTATTATTATTTGTATTAGTAGGCTAGTAGTAGTTAGAGTGTGCGTGCGTGCAAGCTACGAGTGTATGTGTGTGCGCGCGCGCAAACATGACTAAAGTTTTAATAATAGAGTGGCGAAGTCACGCCCATCTACTTCCGCCCCATGGGACCTTATTTCGGAAAAATAATGTATTGAAGTCAATGGAGAGAGAAAACTTATCTTTCGATCCCGTTTGAATTGTGCCATGAATTACACGTATGATGTTTGTCAATCTTAAAAAATAATTTTGTTGCGTGAGACATTATATTCAGCAGAAGTCTCCACGTTTGCAGTCAACCAAAGTAGTTTGTAAGTATGCTACGGACAGAAAAACACACACGACCACATCGCTCAGAGTTTGGCCTGGAGTACGGGCCGTTTATTGAATCTGCGCATGCTCATTAGCATGACCACGTTTCTTTCACTCAGGCACATTCTGATGATGTCATACACATGAACTGAAACATGACTTTGTTCATATACAAATATGCTTAACACTCCCACTCAAAGACATGTTAATAACTCTCTACAGTGGTACACAGAATCCAAATAAACAAAAAAAAACTTCTCAAGCAGTGTTCAATTTTTACACCTGCAATTCACATTACTCTCCAAAGAAATACCCTTTGAATTGTCAAATTTTGCCTTTGTCAAAATGTAACTTTTGCTCGCATGGAGTTGACCTTGGTTTGCACTCTGACATGCCAAACCTCTCTAGCATCTTTGCTATGTGTCTCTTTTGGCTCATTTTGATCTCCCCCTCACTCTGTGTAAAGTCGATACCTCCATGGGACCTTATTTCTGAAAAATTATGTATTGAAGTCAATGGAGAGAAAAAGATTATCTTTCGATTCCGTTTGAATTGTGCCACGAATTACACATATGATGTTTGTCAATTTAAAAGATAATTTTGCAAGTCAAAAAAAAAAAAATGTGTCGTAACACATTTGTTTGTGTGAAACGCTTAATGAACTACATCTCTGGTCTCACAGAACAACACGCGTCACCAAGATGGCCGTCACTACTGTCTTGTCAACAAAACGATTGACTACCCTCACTATCACCACAATGAAACGCGTCCTGAAGAAAGTCATGCAAAGCTGCCTGCCTGCCTTCCTTTGATTCTCTCTGAACTGCCTGGTCGTTTTAATGTTTAATGTCAACCATTTGTGCAGATAGCATGAAGTAGAGAAGATCGCTAGCGTTAGCGTTAGCATTTCTCCCCCGGGCTTAAATGGTGTATTATAGAATGATCACACCGGTGTGACAGTACTCTTCAAAGGGTTCACGAAATATGACTACTACTCTTACTGTTTAACATTTTGGGTTACTTAATGTTACTTCATGTTAAGGCTAATAAAAATGACAAGGCTGTAATGCTAACTAACGTGCTAGCTACTAGCTAGCTTGATCCAGACACTCCTGGTCCTTTCATCAGACGGGAAGCGAAAGAACGAGCAAGACCCATTACTGGTATGATAACAACCTGGTACTAAGCACACAGGCATCTTGTTAAAGTTATCTTGTCTTAGCCAGCGCCATATAGATAGATTCTATCTATATGGAGCTGATCTTAGCTATCTTTTAGTGGAGGAAAACAATTGTGACATCACTTACGCGACTCTGGGATTTGTAGTCTTTCTAGTTGCGTATTTTTCATAGTCTTATATTTCAACAGTTTTATGACAAACTGTGACTTTTTTGACATGGAAATTATTTTTTAAGATTGACAAACATCATATGTGTAATTCATGGCACAATTCAAACGGGATCGAAAGATACGTTTTCTCTCTCCATTGACTTCAATACATTATTTTTCCGAAATAAGGTCCCATGGACCGGAAGTAGATGGGCGGGACTTCGCCACTCTATACAAGGTCCTTGTTATGTATCATCTTTCTTTTTTTGTTGTCTATATCACCTGTTCCACATCTGATTTTATTCTCTTGTATTTTCTTTTAGACACGATGAAGATTATCCACCAAGCACATGGAGCAAAGGTATCTAGGAGATAGTGTCACGTTGAAAAAACATGTGTGTCTGAAGATAAATAGTCCTGAGGCCTGTACTACGAAGCCGGATTTTCGCTTAGCAGGCTAACTTCAGGGAAAACTCTGGGTTTCCGGTCCTACGATGCTGGTTCTCTTTTTAGCGGGCTAGATCTCCATGGTAACTTATGCTGAGCGGCTAACCAGGGGCCTATACTACGAAGCAGGATTTTCGTTTAGCAAGCTAACTTCAGGGATTTCTGGTCCTACGACGCTGGTTCACTTCTTAGTGGGCTAGATAACTTATGCTGAACGGCTAGCCTGCTCCGGAGCAGGATAGGTTCCAGGATAAGAGATCAACTGTGCGGAGTTCTTCTTCTTCTTCTTTGCTTTAATGGCGAATCGCTTCCACTTGGAGCATATATCGCCCCCTACTGTTGATTTATTTAATGTCCATGTTAAATCCTTGTCCTCAGACCGTTTCAATAAGGATAAATCTATTACAGGTTGAGGTAGCAACCATGGTGGAACAGCTGATAACAACAGTGTGCAGAGTTCAAAGCAATCAAGTCATATTACAGGATAAAGGAAATATAGTCGGCCAAAATCACCGACTGTGTGAACGTGAAAATGAATAGAATATCCCCTCCCATCTTCAGAGCAATCTGACTATTATAACATTAGCGTTAAGAAAGCTTACTTAAATATCTGCCACAACATAAGTAACCGGATCAGAGTAACATTACGTACAGTCCGCGGCACTGTGAGTGCAGACGTCGATGTGTCCCATTATCATTCATATCACATCATAATGTATCATATATTTCCTTATCTGAGTCAGCTTCTTGAGCCGTATCTGGCCGTGCAACACTCACAGTGTCACATACTGTATGCAGAAGTATTATTTTAAGCAACACATTAAGTTGACGAAACACTCGAGTCAAATGTAATTAAAGTCAGATCCACTCGTGTCTTGGACGAGGCAGCAGTGATATCATAAAACTGTTAATGTACGCATTCAAACACTTTTTCTTTTACCAGCTGTATTCACCTTGCAGGTGCAGCTATGTGGCTTTTATCCTGGATAAAGTGTTTAAGTCATGGATGTTTAAAGTTTAACTTCTTCATATGTCTAATATTATAGTTGACTTTTCATTCAGGAAGTATGACGCGCTGCGCTGTCAGTACGCTTGTCCATGTTTGTGATTGGTCGAATGCTCCAAATACCACCCCTTTCATGTGAACGCGCACCTAACTAGATAGGACACGGCTGGCTTGAGCGATCCACTTGATAACCCGCGTCGTAGGACCGCTTAGCGAGAGCGTGTATGTTTTAGATTAGGCCAACCGGCTAACTCAAACATATCCAGGTTAGATTGAACCGGCTTCGTAGTACAGGCCTCTGAACTGGGACGTGCACAGACATTTTGGGGGCGGGAGCTCAAGTGAAAAAAAGGGCACTTCCCATAATCATTTATAAAAAAAGGTTTTAAAACAAAAAGTGAAATATAGTTGCACATCTCTGACTTACTGACCAATTTATTTTAATACCCTCACACTCACGCAATTGTTTAATACTCAACAGAATTCTACAAAATAATCAGTTAACACAGAGACAATGGTCTTCTTTAGTATTCACATACGCACAAGAGTAGACAACAAACTCGTAAAATTTATAGTTATTAAATGAGCAGCCAACAATCAAAATTATGAAGTTACTGTTTAAGGACATTACAGGCAAAAAGATCATTTTTTCATGTACTTGTACATTTTGTTACTTTGGTCTATTTTTCTTCCATGTTTTCTTTCACTCTAATTGTTTGTAGCTTTTATTTAACTTCCAAAAAACATGGTGTTCGTTTTACTACCATGTCTGAATTCATCTATAGATTTAAAGCTAATCTGCATTTAAACCTAACATTTCAGGGGAAATACTGACTTGACATAAGTAACTATCTGGGGAAGTTGCGAGGTGGTGTGTTTTTTTGTTTGTTGTATCCTTTTCACCTGCAATTTCTTGGTAACTGCATGCAAATTAGCGCATTTTAATTAGGCCTAGTTAACGCCTAATTTGCATATCAATGTGCGATTGTGGTGATGTTAGATACACATTTTACTGTATTCACCTTTAGTGTCTCCCCTTAAGTAACCTACAGTACATTAGCCTGTATGCCCATGATAAATTGCCTTAGCTAAACCTTGAGCTAACTTATCCATTAGCTAGTAGCCTACCTTAGTTAACTATATTTGTTTTTGTCTTTTAGCTAATTAGCTGTAAACTTGAGTCACTGGCAGTAATTTGTTCATCACCACTCACCTTCAAACAAGCCAAGAAAAGCCGGCATAACATGGGACAGTAAAGTGGGAGGTGCTGCTACCTGTCTGTCTGAAGGGACAGTAAAGTGGGAGGTGCTGCTACCTGTCTGTCTGAAGGGACAGTAAAGTGGGAGGTGCTGCTACCTGTCTGTCTGAAGGGACAGTAAAGTGGGAGGTGCTGCTACCTGTCTGTCTGAACGGACAGTAAAGTGGGAGGTGCTGCTACCTGTCTGTCTGAAGGGACAGTAAAGTGGGAGGTGCTGCTACCTGTCTGTCTGAAGGGACAGTAAAGTGGGAGGTGCTGCTACCTGTCTGTCTGAAGGGACAGTAAAGTGGGAGGTGCTGCTACCTGTCTGTCTGAAGGGACAGTAAGGTGGGAGGTGCTGCTACCTGTCTGTCTGAAGTGACAGTAAGGTGGGAGGTGCTGCTACCTGTCTGTCTGAAGTGACAGTAAAGTGGGAGGTGCTGCTACCTGTCTGTCTGAAGGGACTGTAAGGTGGGAGGTGCTGCTACCTGTCTGTCTGAAGGGACAGTAAAGTGGGAGGTGCTGCTACCTGTCTGTCTGAAGGGACAGTAAAGTGGGAGGTGCTGCTACCTGTCTGTCTGAAGTGACTGTAAGGTGGGAGGTGCTGCTACCTGTCTGTCTGAAGTGACTGTAAGGTGGGAGGTGCTGCTACCTGTCTGTCTGAAGTGACTGTAAGGTGGGAGGTGCTGCTACCTGTCTGTCTGAAGTGACTGTAAGGTGGGAGGTGCTGCTACCTGTCTGTCTGAAGTGAGTGTAAGGTGGGAGGTGCTGCTACCTGTCTGTCTGAAGGGACAGTAAAGTGGGAGGTGCTGCTACCTGTCTGTCTGAAGTGACTGTAAGGTGGGAGGTGCTGCTACCTGTCTGTCTGAAGGGACAGTAAAGTGGGAGGTGCTGCTACCTGTCTGTCTGAAGTGACTGTAAGGTGGGAGGTGCTGCTACCTGTCTGTCTGAAGTGACTGTAAGGTGGGAGGTGCTGCTACCTGTCTGTCTGAAGGGACAGTAAAGTGGGAGGTGCTGCTACCTGTCTGTCTGAAGTGACTGTAAGGTGGGAGGTGCTGCTACCTGTCTGTCTGAAGTGACTGGGAGGTGCTGCTACCTGTCTGTCTGAAGTGACTGTAAGGTGGGAGGTGCTGCTACCTGTCTGTCTGAAGTGACAGTAAAGTGGGAGGTGCTGCTACCTGTCTGTCTGAAGGGACAGTAAAGTGGGAGGTGCTGCTACCTGTCTGTCTGAAGTGACAGTAAGGTGGGAGGTGCTGCTACCTGTCTGTCTGAAGTGACAGTAAAGTGGGAGGTGCTGCTACCTGTCTGTCTGAAGTGACAGTAAAGTGGGAGGTGCTGCTACCTGTCTGTCTGAAGTGACAGTAAAGTGGGAGGTGCTGCTACCTGTCTGTCTGAAGGGACTGTAAGGTGGGAGGTGCTGCTACCTGTCTGTCTGAAGGGACAGTAAAGTGGGAGGTGCTGCTACCTGTCTGTCTGAAGGGACAGTAAAGTGGGAGGTGCTGCTACCTGTCTGTCTGAAGGGACTGTAAGGTGGGAGGTGCTGCTACCTGTCTGTCTGAAGGGACAGTAAAGTGGGAGGTGCTGCTACCTGTCTGTCTGAAGTGACAGTAAAGTGGGAGGTGCTGCTACCTGTCTGTCTGAAGGGACTGTAAGGTGGGAGGTGCTGCTACCTGTCTGTCTGAAGGGACAGTAAAGTGGGAGGTGCTGCTACCTGTCTGTCTGAAGGGACAGTAAAGTGGGAGGTGCTGCTACCTGTCTGTCTGAAGGGACAGTAAAGTGGGAGGTGCTGCTACCTGTCTGTCTGAAGGGACAGTAAAGTGGGAGGTGCTGCTACCTGTCTGTCTGAAGGGACAGTAAAGTGGGAGGTGCTGCTACCTGTCTGTGACTGCCGATAGACCGCGAGACGTGGAGGGAGGGTAGAGAGAGCATCGGAACTTCACAGTCTAATCTCCCGAACCTGATATTTTTATTTTGTATTCAATCAATATATTTTTGGAAAGGGAAACTGTGCACAAACAGCAGTAGATGTATATTCATTTTTTTTTAAATAGGGGGAAAAAAAGGGCACTTTCTCTGGAGGCAGGGGCTCAAGCGCACTTTGATGTCTGTGTGCACATGCCTGGTCCTGAATGTCAGCAGCCACAATTTTAAAGTGGTTAATGTAATGCAATGATTGTTTTAATGATATACGAAACATTAAAAAGGTCCCAGTTGACAGATACCACTTCTGATCAGTCAAATCAGTGGTTGCCTACTGTAATGAAACCAATTCCTTAAAAAATTCAGCTGAGACATAGTTTTATGGTGTGGAGCAACAGTCTATGCTAGCTGTTTATAGATAAAATTGTGTACAAACAGCAGAGCTATTTTCTGAGCAGAAATACAAAACCAACATGAGTGGACAGCCGTGGTCCCCTCCCAGTAATGTTAATGACAAACACGAGCAGTTTCACACCGTTTTTTTTTTTTAACTTTCATTATTTTCATTTTGCAACCACAATGACCCAATCAATTCAATTCACAGATCAGTTTCATGGAAAGTGCAGAAGCAGGAGAGACAAACTCCAAATAAATCAGTGATGGGCAACTTTTTAAGTAAAACACAAGTGACATTGATTACATTTGCTTTTTGAACAGCAGTTGTTAGTCTAAGAATGTGCATAAACTAAAACGTGCGTAAACTTCACGCTAAAAGCAGCACTTTCCTGAAACAGCAAGTAATATCATAAATATTATAGCCATTATACATTTTATGATGTGAAGTGCTTCAAGTTTGTATGAAAAATAGCTACTCTTTATTTGTAGATATCTACTATAGCCTACACGTTAAGCTGGGATTTCCTTGCATGGCTTGTCAGTCTTTTATATTTTGATGCAGCATCTACAGACACTACTTTGACTTTTAACATTACAACTGTTTAATTGGTTGATGGATGTTGAGCTCATTACCGTCATCATTTAGCTGGGATGAAGAGTTTCCCACAGACGTACAGTATTGACACCCTGGGTCCCATAGATTACGATCTGCATCAAGACAGATGGTCTTATACAAAGTACAAGTAAAGAAAAATCTGATATTTTTTGTTTGACATCAATACACGACACAGCAGATTTTAGAAATGATAAAACTATTTTTTTCCGCTTGGCGCCGGTTATTTGTTTTCGCCGTAAAGTGGGCGGGCCTTTATTTTGCCAGGCAGTGAAGTTGCGCTGCTCTCTATTCCAGCCGTGGGTCACGCCTCTTAAATAAACTGTTGCCACAATATACATCCACGGAAAATACACCGGTGTATCCTCGGTCAGAGCTCCTCCAGCGAGCCTCCTCCATGTTCATTTAAATAATTGCCATGTCCTTCAAGATGGCGTGCTGAGTTTGACAGGTCACTGTCGGAGGGGTGAGGAGGCGAACATTTCAGAAATGAGAAACCGCTATGCTCCACACAAGTATGCACTCACAGATCCATGTGAGGGTGATACCTTATCAAATATTCGTTCAGAAAGCAATACCAAAATGTTCAGGCTTGTATGCTTTTATATACTCTATACTGCCCCCATGATAGCAAGATCAGTGAATGAGGTGCACGTTGAGTATGTGCAACTGCTTGCGTACCATGAGTTTTCCCACTGCAGTTAAAGCTAAAAGATATGAAGTTTGGGTGAAAACAATCTGTCCATTTTTAAAACTGTTCTCAAGGTGAGGTCCCCAGATCTAACCTCAGAACCCATCAAATATTTCTTGTACTAGTTTACATACACAAATGCATATAGTTTTGGTATCCTTTGGTACCATGAGAACGAATTATGACGTGTCCATTTTTCTTTCTTGCAGACTAATGAGTTGGTGATGAGTTTAGAGGACGATGAAAAGCTCATTCTGCAAAATGAACAAACCCTACGAGCTGCTGGCATTGGTAAGAGTAAAAACAGAACTTTATTCCACTTGATCCTAAAATTAAACGTCAGTAATGATCTCAACTTTTCAAATATATTTATTTGACTATTTTTGATATAATTTGGGTTGACACTTACTAGAAATACAACAGAATTCCACAGCAACACAAACTACAGATTTACTGCATTAGCTAAAACTAAATAGATCCCTACCACTAGTTTGGTGGACAGCATTAACTACACTGTGTAGTCAATAAGTGCCTGCAGCTGATCTGAGATCAACAGTAGCAGCTTATTTTCAATATTTCAAATTATATTGTATAATAAAATACTTGTGTCCTCGTAGATTAAAAATGTAGGGAAAAATATATTTTGGAAAACTAACAGTTGGGCCTATGAATATAAACGGTATATTCCTAGAATAGAAGAAAATAACTTTAAAAATAATACAACAAAATAATGTAATGGGTTAACATAGTTGATCTGCTGCAGGAAGTATAGTTTTATCAGAATTTTAAAATGTTTGTGTTTGTTGTTTCAGCAAATGAAACAGAAGTGGCCTTCTTCAGGAAAGAAGACTACGGTCTCTTCAAAGCAAATCCCCAAACTGCTTGGTAACCAGTACTTTGTCTACTGTTTACTTTAATAACTACAGCAGAGGGGCGTTCTAATGGGACAGAGGTCAATGGGATATCCAGAATGGAACCATCATGTTTTAATTTGGGGGTTGTTTTTCAAATATAATTTTCAACCACCCTGGCATGCCCTTTTATTTTAAATGTTTTATTTTTCTTCTCATTGTGTCCATGGACATTAGTTTCTGATATTGTTTATAAATGTGCTGAATAAAGTTATCTGACAGATGAGGTTTTGAATGTTTTTACAGAGTATTCACATAGTAAAATGTACTGCAATATTTCAAAACAATGGTAATCATGCTCAGTTTGACACGATCAGAACAGAGGTGTGGCAGTTTCTCCCTTACAGTACATCACATTTTAATAAAATGCCTCATATTGGACCCTGTTACATAGAACATATTTATCATAGATTGAACCATTCATCGGCATCAAAAATTAAAGGTACACAACTCCAAGTTTTAGATGACATTTACTATGCTGATCGGCCTCTTAGGAAAATGCTTCCCATTTCTATCTGCATTCAAGTCGAGTTTTGAAGGATTTCAATTTGATTGCAATATATGATATCTGCATTGCTCCATTTAAAGCTGCAGATGGTAACTTTAAGGATATTAAAATGTATGTATTTAAAACAAACCATGTGGTTCCAAACCTGCTACAAGACAGTTCATTTGTATTTATTTTTATCTTGATTTTTATTTCTTAAAGTGCACCTATCGTGCTATTTTTAGGCAATAGCATAGGTCTCAGATATATAAAAATATACAAAAAACATGTCTATGAAGTGTTTTGCTCAAAATACCAAACAGATCACCCATTCTAGCCATGCCTCTATTTCACTTCCTGTTTCTAAAGTGCTGATTTTGGGTATAAAGCTTTAAAAAAAATATATATATATATATATATATATATATATATATATATATATATATATATATATATATATATATATATATATATATATATATATATATATATATATATCATGGATTATTTCTGAAACAGTATGGAGCTCAAAGGCTTTCTCTCTTGCCGGTTATACCACAAGGTGAGTTCCTTTTTATATCCAGCTTCTTCACACACATGCTCTCCAGTACAGGTTAGCTCTGAGTGTTAGCGATGCTAATGTAAACACCGACCATATTACGTCCAAAACAGTCGGGCATTGTTTCTGATAGCAACTTTCTGATAGTGCCGTGGGTCCACATTTCCGATATTACGTCATATCGCACGCAAATCTGGATCAGCTCCGTTGTTCCCCCGTTTTTAGAGATTTGGGTACGGAGGAAAAGAGAGAGGGTTTTATTTTCTGACGCTGCGTGAGTTCCCTGACACACTGGGGACACATATTTATGTATAAAAGACATCAAAAAGTGCATTTTGCATGATAGGTCCCCTTTAATATTAATTTATGCTGTCTGCCTCAAACTCACTAACTCATTGCTCATCACTTAGGTATTGTGTATGAGTGCAATCATGCACAAGTGTTTTACCAAGACTTAATAACCAGGGGGGAGGAAGGGTAACTGTACAGGGCATTGCCGGAGGCACCAATCTCTGACCTAATATTTTGATTCACTCAATGTCTGTTCATCAAGGCAAGCTGTGTGCAAACATTAATTTGTTAATAAAAAAAAAAAGAAATGCAACACTTAAGCCCGGTCCAGTGGACACGAACACTTGTATGTAATATAATGGTGTAGGTGGGATGTATAATGTGTGGCCATTGAAAACATGTTACTGAAAAATACCGAATCGTGTCATTTTTCTTAGGAATGAGAGACAGTTTTTTTCATTTAGTGACGAACAGGGCACCAGTTGTCTTGTCTATCAAGTGCAAATCTTTTGTGGTTTTGGAATCGGTGTGATGCGAGTCGACCTTGTGTATATGTGTGTAGGTTATTCAAATTCAATACTTTCACAAAGAACAGAGGCCTGTACGACGAAGCCGGTTCAACATAACCTGGATATGTTTGAGTTAGCCGGTTGGCCTAATCCAAAACATACGCGCTCTCGCTAAACTGTACTACGACGTGGGTTATCAAGTGGATCGCTCAAGCCAGCCTTGTCCTATCTAGTTAGGTGCGCGTTCACATGAAAGGGGTTGTATTTGGAGCATTCAACCAATCACAAACATGGACAAGCGTACTGACAGCGCAGCGTCATACTTCCTGAATGAAAAGTCAACTATAATATTGACAAATATGAAGACGTTAAACTTTAAACATCCATGTCTTAAACACTTTATCCAGGATCAAAGCCACATAGCTGCACCTGCAAGGTGAATACAGCTGGTAAAAGAAAAAGTGTTTGAATGCGTACATTAACAGGTTTATGATATCACTGCCCCGTCTAAGACACAATCTGACTTTAATTACATTTAACTCGAGTGTTTCGTCAACTTAATGTGTTGCTTAAAATAATACTTCTGCATACAGTATGTGACACTGTGAGTGTTGCAGATACGGCTCAAGAAGCTGACTCAGATAAGGAAATATATGATACATTATGATGTGATATGATATGAATGATAATGGGACACATCGACGTCTGCACTCACAGTGCAGCGGACTGTACGTAATGTTACTCTGATCCGGTTACTTATGTTGTGGCAGATATTTAAGTAAGCTTTCTTAACGCTAATGTTATAATAGTCAGATTGCTCTGAAGATGGGAGGGGATATTCTATTCATTTTCACGTTCACACAGTCTGTGATTTTTGCCGGCCGTCTTTCCTGCAACGGCAGTTTAAACTGTATTTCCTTTCTCCTGTAATATGACTTGATCGCTTTAAACTCCGCACACTGAGCTCTGATTGGTCAGCAGGCAGTGCTTTCACTGAGTTGATCTCTTAGCCTGCAACCTAACCTGCTCCGGACCAGGGGGGTATACTACGAATCAAGATTTTTGTTTAGCAAGCTAACTTCAGGGGTTTCCGGTCCTACGAAGCTGGTTCACTTTTTAGCGGGCTAGATAACTTATTCTGGACGGCTATCCTCCGGAGCAGGATAGGTTCCAGGATAAAAGCACTGCCTGCTGACCAATCAGAGCTCAGTGTGCGGAGTTTAAAGCGATCAATTCATATGACAGGAGGAGAAAGGAAATACAGTTTAAACTGCCGTTGCAGGAAAGACGACCGGCCAAAATCACCGACTGTGTGAACGTGAAAATTAATAGAATATCCCCTCCCATCTTCAGAGCAATCTGACTATTATAACATTAGCATTAAGAAAGCTTACTTAAATATCTGCCACGACATAAGTAACCGGATCAGAGTAACATTACGTACAGTCCGCGGCACTGTGAGTGCAGACGTCGATGTGTCCCATTATCATTCATATCACATCATAATGTATCATATATTTCCTTATCTGAGTCAGCTTCTTGAGCCGTATCTGGCCGTGCAACACTCACAGTGTCACATACGCAGAAGTATTATTTTAAGCAACACATTAAGTTGACGAAACACTCGAGTCAAATGTAATTAAAGTCAGATCGTGTCTTATACGGGGCAGTAGTGATATCATAAACCTGTTAATGTGCGCATTCAAACACTTTTTCTTTTACCAGCTGTAGCCTATTCACCTTGCAGGTGCAACTATGTGGCTTTTATCCTGGATAAAGTGTTTAAGTCATGGATGTTTAAAGTTTAACGTCTTCATATTTGTCTAATATTAGTTGACTTTTCATTCAGGAAATATATGACGTGCTGCGCTGTCAGTACACGGCTTGTCCATGTTTGTGATTGGTCGAACACTCCAAATACCACCCCTTTTATGTGAACGCGCACCTAACTAGATAGGACACGGCTGGCTTGAGCGATCGAGTTGATAGCCAGCGTCGTAGGATCGTTTAGCGAGAGCGGTTTCTTTTTGGATTTAGTCAACCGGATAACTCAAAACATATCCAGGATATGTTGAACTAGATTCGTAGTATACCCCCCTGGTTAGCCGCTCAGCATAAGTTACCATAGAGATCTAGCCCGCTAAAAAGAGAACCAGCGTCGTAGGACCGGAAACCCCAAGTTTTCCCTGAACTTGGCCCGCTAAGCGAACATCCGGCTTCGTCGTACAGGCCTCAGGGCTCAATCCATTAGGAAAAACATGTTTTCATGAGTTTTGTTGAATAAAGATGCAATCTGAGATGTGTTTCTATCCTCTTTAAGGTTTGTATTGCCCAGTCGCTGCCATGGAATCCTATATTTTTTGCCCATTTCGAACTTTTGAAACTCCTAATGCTGGCCTAATAACTTGCCTTCCAAAATGTCTTCTTCCAATTAAGTCTTTTTGGAGATTTGGAAGATTCCAATAAATTAATCTGGATCTTTGCTGGAATTATATCTAAAGTATTTTTATCTAGCACTTATTCAAGCACTCTTTCTGAATATTAAACCAAATATCAGCTTCAGTGCAAGTACTGTATCCATAAAGGTTTATTCTAATGACAGGTTTTTCCTGTAATATGGTTATTTTACGATGGTTTCTTCCAGAACGTTTATGGTAATAATAATCTATTTTATTTGTAAGCGCACTTTTCATTTGAGTAAACAAAACTCAAAGTGCTACAGAGTAAAATGGTTAAAACAAAACAAATACAAAATAAATATATAATAAAGTAAACAACATAATAAAAACAATACACTGTTGTTCTAGAGCAGTGGTAAAAACATTCACTTCACCTAATGAACGGCCTCGATGATATGTCAGTGAACCAATAGAATTAAGGGGAGGGTGCTTTCGAGGAACCGGGGTCACAGGGTACAGCAGCAGTTGCATTCTGGGAAATTGAGTGGACTTTACCCCTGCACGGTGCTTCTAGTAGATTGTTGCTCTGCTGTCTGATTCCGGACTAACATGGCTGATCTCCAGGTCTGTATGTTCTTAGTTTGATTATCTTTGATTGAACAAGAGCAGCTAAGTACCCCAGCGCGTGCTGGTAAACGGCGGTAAGTGCGCCGTTAGCTCTGTGAGAGGTTAACTAACCAAACCAGCGCGAGCCTTCCGGTCGGCTTTCCTTGTCTCGCGAGCTAGTGACAGTATTGTTTTGTTTCTAACCTCTTTATTTATATGAATATAATATGATATATAAAATATAACAGCATCACAGGGAGCTGTTCGTCTGTGACTGTCAGCGGGGACAGCAGGTTACCGTTATCCTTCCGTTTAATTCCGTGTTCACACTTTGTGAAATATTGAAGGCTTTTCAATTCTCCAATTTCTCCTCCTCGACTCCTATCCTCGTGTCTTAGTCCCGCCCACATGAGATGCGAGCAGAGGAGTCGAGGAGGGGAACCGAGGAGAGGGGAAGCAGCAGGCGTTTAGAGAAATGAGGAATCCTCTCTGAGCGGTCATTTTAAAGAGACGTCCGTTAATGATGACAGGAGGCACAGCAGTAGTGATCTATAGAGTGGCGAAGTCCCTCCCCTTCCGGTTGAGCCCCATGGGACCTTATTTCGGAAAAGTTATGCATTGAAGTCAATGGAGAGAGAAAGATTATCTTTCGATCCCGTTTGAATTGTGCCACGAATTACACATATGATGTTTGTCAATTTAAAAGATAATTTTGCAAGTCAAAAAAATTAAAATGTGTCGTAAAACTGTGAAGTAACACATTTGTTTGTGTGAAACGCTAAATGAACTACATCTCTGGTCAACCACACACGTCACCAAGATGGCCGTCACTACTGTCTTGTCAACAAACGATTGACTATCACCACAATGAAACACGTCCTGAAGAATGTCATGCAAAGCCTGCCTTCCTTTGATTCTCTCTGAACTGCCTGGTCGTTTTAATGTTTAATGTCAACCATTTGTGCAGATAGCATGAAGTAGAAAAGATCGCCGATGCTAACGTTAGCGTTAGCATTTCTCCCCCGGAATTAAATGGTGTATTATAGAATGATCACACCGGTGACAGTACTATTCAAAGGGTTCACGAAATATGACTACTACTCTTACTGTTTAACATTTTGGGTTACCCCGGAAGTAAGTGGGAGGGACTTCGCCACTCTATAGAGTGGCGAAGTCACGCCCATCTACTTCCGGTCCATGGGACCTTATTTCGGAAAAATAATGTATTGAAGTCAATGGAGAGAGAAAACTTATCTTTCGATCCCGTTTGAATTGTGCCATGAATTACACATATGATGTTTGTCAATCTTAAAAAATCATTTCCATGTCAAAAAAGTCACAGTTTGTCGTAAAACTGTTGAAATATAAGACTATGAAAAATACGTAACTAGAAAGACTACAAATCCCAGAGTCGCGTAAGTGATGTCACAATTGTTTACCTCCACCATTCAGATACCTAAGATCAGCGCCATATAGATATAATCTATCTATATGGCGCTGGCTAAGATAAGATAACTTTAACAAGATGCCTGTGTGCTTAGTACCAGGTTGTTATTATACCAGCAATGGGTCTTGCTCGTTCTTTCGCTTCCCGTCTGATGAAAGGACCAGGAGTACTCTGGATCAAGCTAGCTAGTAGCTAGCACGTTAGTTAGCATTACAGCCTTGTCATTTTTATTAGCCTTAACATGAAGTAACATTAAGTAACCCAAAATGTTAAACAGTAAGAGTAGTAGTCATATTTCGTGAACCCTTTGAAGAGTACTGTCACCGGTGTGATCATTCTATAATACACAATTTAATCCCGGGGGACAAATGCTAACGCTAACGCTAGCGATCTTCTCTACTTCATGCTATCTGCACAAATGGTTGACATTAAACATTAAAACGACCAGGCAGTTCAGAGAGAATCAAAGGAAGGCAGGCAGGCAGCTTTGCATGACATTCTTCAGGACGTGTTTCATTGTGGTGATAGTGAGGGTAGTCAATCGTTGTGTTGACAAGACAGTAGTGACGGCCATCTTGGTGACGTGTGTTGTTGACCAGAGATGTAGTTCATTGAGCGTTTCACACAAACAAATGTGTTACTTAATTAATTATCTTTTAAATTGACAAACATCATATGTGTAATTCGTGGCTCAATTCAAACGGGATCGAAAGATAATCTTTCTCTCTCCATTGACTTCAATACATCATTTTTCCGAAATAAGGTCCCATGGAGGTCCACCGGAAGGGGAGGGACTTCGCCACTCTATGTCGTAGAAGTAACACATTTGTTTGTGTGAAACGCTCAATGAACTACATCTCTGGTCAACAACACACGTCACCAAGATGGCCGTCACTACTGTCTTGTCAACACAACGATTGACTACCCTCACTATCACCACAATGAAACACGTCCTGAAGAATGTCATGCAAAGCTGCCTGCCTGCCTTCCTTTGATTCTCTCTGAACTGCCTGGTCATTTTAATGGTTAATGTCAACCATTTGTGCAGATAGCATGAAGTAGAGAAGATCGCTAGCGTTAGCGTTAGCATTTGTCCCCCGGGATTAAATTGTGTATTATAGAATGATCACACCGGTGACAGTACTCTTCAAAGGGTTCACGAAATATGACTACTACTCTTACTGTTTAACATTTTGGGTTACTTAATGTTACTTCATGTTAAGGCTAATAAAAATGACAAGGCTGTAATGCTAACTAACGTGCTAGCTACTAGCTAGCTTGATCAAGCCACTCCTGGTCCTTTCATCAGACGGGAAGCGAAAGAACGAGCTAGACCCATTGCTGGTATAATAACAACCTGGTACTAAGCACACAGGCATCTTGTTAAAGTTATCTTATTTTAGCCAGCGCCATATAGATAGATTATATCTATATTGCGCTGATCTTAGGTATCTGAATGGTGGAGGAAAACAATTGTGACATCACTTACGCGACTCTGGGATTTGTAGTCTTTCTAGTTACGTATTTTTCATAGTCTTATATTTCAACAGTTTTACGACAAACTGTGACTTTTTTTACATGGAAATTATTTTTTAAGATTGACAAACATCATATGTGTAATTCATGGCACAATTCAAACGGGATCGAAAGATAAGTTTTCTCTCCCCATTGACTTCAATGCATAATTTTTCCGAAATAAGGTCCCATTACCCGGAAGTAAGTGGGCGTGACTTCGCCACTCTATATGGTCTAGCTGCGGCCGTGGCAAGTACACGCCCCCTACACGACACGCCCCCTACACGACACGCCCCCTACACGACACGCCCACCTGACACGACACTACGGTGGCTGAGAGACATTATTGATCTCAGTGTGCTGGGCAGTGTGGCGGCGGAGGGAGCCGAGGGCACCACCGGAGGAGAGGCGAGCGATGACAGCAGCATCACCGTGGTGCAGCTCCCCGCACAGACTGAGGGGACTTGTTACACGGAGCCCATCACTGGGGAAGCCTGCGGCGGGAGAAGGCGGTCTGCTCGGCCTGCCCTTGGCTCTGGGGTCCCTCCTTAAAAAAAGTCTCATCATACTTAATCCTAGACAGTAGCACATGGTATATATTGTACGACTTTGTCATTTTTTTAATGTTGATATGTAGTCGCTCATAGCCTACTGTGCCTTTCACACAGACAATACAAGTGAATTTTGAAATGACAAATAGGTTTATGTTTCAAGTTTATTTGCATTAAAAACGTGTTTTTAAACCCATCTGTTCAAATTTGATATTTTGTTTCTTAAAAGATTAAATCTTTAAAAACATGCTGTTTGCCATTTTTAAAGTTTGATGGAAGAAATTAAAATATAGGTCACTGACGTGGAGCTTTAGGCCTGCAATGCTTTCAAAAAAAATGTTGGTGTTTCAGTTTTGAGTGAATATGGATGTTAAATTCACAAATGAGTATGAATAATCTTGAACAAGAACAGGATCTTGAGCCATGATGTTTTTAAAGTACAGAAACATTCAGAATGCATGACGATTCCTTCAAAGGTTTTGTAATAGACCCCTAGTACTTTTAATTTATAAAGTAATAATAATACATGTGAATGATTGAGCTCATTAGTGGCCTGACTGGCCCTCCTAATTTGGTCCTTAATGACCCCATGATGTGATTATGTATATCTTAAAACCTTTAACAACTATATTTAGATGTTCACAAATATCTACATTTATGTATAAATACATGTGTAGCAGTTAGACAAACATAATTAATAGATTATCTCATTAATACCTATTTTATATATTTAAAAAAGTTTACTAAACCACCGTTTGTTGACAAAATGATTTGGGTTGAAAGTTATACTGTTGTGTCTCAAACGGATAGACTAGGTTATTAATTTATTTGCCTAATAGTTGCTTAAAATGCTACAATAACATTTGCAATTCGTTTTTAATCTGCCATGTACGGTAATGTCTCTCAGCCACCATAGTGTCGTGTCAGGTGGGCGTGTCGTGTAGGGGGCGTGTCGTGTAGTGTTGTGTACTTGTCGCGGCCGCAGCTGGACCCTTCTCGTAGTGATGGGTGTCACTCATGGATGTATAATAAGAACTGGATACAGCGTGGGAGGCGGGGCCTCATTCATTCCTATGAGAGTTGCTCATTCGCGCATGATGATAAATGGCCCAACTATTGAGAGAGCGAAACGTCACAGATTACCCGGCATGCCTGAGAAGTACCCGTATGTGCGCTCATATCGCATGCGCAACTTTAACCACGCTCCCCAAAATGCTCGTTCACATCAAGCACGTCAATTTGCGTACACGTAACAGCACAGCACGTTCATGACAGCATGGTAATGGATTGTTATTATGATAGATTTGATATTAACGAGGCTGCAGTTAGCAGCTAGCGGCCAGCTAGTATTTATGCTAATTTACACATCAATCGTTATGTACTTTTATATTACGCTGTAACAGGATCTAGTGATATCCAAGCAAGAGCTTCATTTAGCATGAAAGAATTATTGCACCTATATATATATATATCTGTAGCTTCTTATTGCACTAAGAAGCTACAGG